GGTCTGGTCAAGTGGGATTTGTGGTGGACAGAGTGGCGCTGGGGCAGGTTTTCTCCAAGTACTTCGGTTTCCCCTGCCAATCTTCATTCCACCAATTGCTCCACAATCACCCTCACCTGTCATCTGGGGCTGGTACAATAGGCCAGAAGTGGCCGCAGTACAAGGGACTTAGTCCCACCCCACTAGCAATAAAAAAAATCATATAGAGAAGGGGTTTGTTTATGATCTCAACTGAAAAAGTTGTAATGTAGTGTTTAAATTTGATATTCTCACAGTGGTGAATATTAAGGTTATTGTCCTGTAGGATATAAGACTGTGTAATTTGATAGGCATGTAACCATCAAACATACAGCGTACTTTTTCAGCTTTGATGAACATGACAAGCAACTGTTATTGCGTTTTGTGAACTGCTTGTCTCCAACTCTGAATATAGTACGTTAGTCCAAAATGTTGGTAACCTTCTACCAGAATGCATGGTGTCGCATTCCATAACATAGTACAATTCTCAGTATAGAGTTAATTTCAGTTTATGTTATGCCATCCCTTACATCAACCTACAGGCCCATTGTCATGTCACCAGCAAGGGGTCAAATCGGGAATGGGCCATACGTCTTAGTTTTTTTGGAAAATAAATAATAGTGCAGGAATTACACCAAATATTAGAAATGTTCTTTAAATGTGACTGCCTATTGTGATGTAGATATACCCATAATTCTACGGTAACTCAAAATAAACAGCATAAACGAAGTTTGTAAGGAAATTTAGTGACTTCTGTCCCCATTTCGGGGGATCTCACCGCGCTCTTGCCCCTTGTGAAAATTAATATATATCAGGAATGTTTACAGAGGGGTATGTGAGTTAGATGAACATCAATTAATATTGAAAGCGTTCAGTAAAACAGCTCTATTTTTTGTAGAGCGAATTACTTGCAACCGAGTATTATTTAATTTTTATTTCAGCATCTGATTTAACGAAAATCCAGTGACTTTTACGGAGAATGTCTATCAGAAGTTAGTGATTTCGATTTCGTGGTACCATGTAGTGAGTCTTTTGCCTGGTAGATGGCAAACTAATCGTGTGAGGTAAATTGGGCTTGCTTTGAAGCTTTCACCGGTAGATGGCGAGAGTATGTAGTTAAGTGCCATAGCCGTTTTTCTAGCAATATAGTTTTGGCTAGTTACGTAATTCCTGTAACGTGCCGTGTGTACTTGGTAGTGTACTGCTTTGTATTTTGGAGGGCCAGGCTTCAAATCTCTGCCCGAAAACCACCTCTCTTCAATGAGGTTATCCGTGGGTTTTGTTAGCAGGAGCTCTTGACAAAAAATTGAAACACCTATCTATCCTACTGAAATTCACAGGAGGAAAATCAAGCTTGGAGAAGTTGGTTTTCCATTACCAAGAAAATTTTGTAAAAGACGTAGAAATGGATCAGTACCGCAAAATAATAATATTCCAAATAGGAGTAATAAAGTATAGTAGTATAATTTCATGATAGTGTGTACACAGTGAATTATATCAGCCACACATTCCAGTTGCCATCAAATGAGAGTATTAACCCATATGTTCGAATTACCCCAATATGTATAGGAAGCGTGTTGAAAACATAATCTAGTAACTTTTTAATTATGTAATGGTACACATAACTAAGAAGCCATAATGTGCCTGGTTCATACTCAGGCACATCGTTTATGAGTAGGTGTGTCAAATAGTGGTACAGTTATAAATATCAGCAACTGAACGTTGTTCTGTGCAACATGTAGAGCAAATTTAGCTGAGTGACCGAAATCATGTGCTTTATCATATGTTGAGGGACTTTTTTTAACATAGTGTTAAGCATGCAATTCGAAGTGTCACTATTTCAGATTGGCGAACATTTTCTGAAAACAATTCGAAACTTTAGCTTACCTTAATGGTTCATTTTTCTTTGTGATGCCTGAGAAACCAGTCATGTAAGGAATTCTGAGTTTGCAGATGTGGTCTGAAATGGCCAGTGTATATACAATGGCTTTGAAAATCAACAAATGTACAGTTGGAGCCACGCTGCAGGAATTGTCCGAACATGTAAGTAAATGTCTGGGCTGCGTTCAATTTTGTTGATGTGTTTTTATGGAACCTGAAGTAAACCAGCCATAAACATACATTATATGAAATATTTTCTCTAAGATTTATGGGCTTATTGAACAGCGTGGGCAAATGTTCTACACGTACCAGCATATGATCGCCATCTGAACCCCACCAAACTGGTTTGGTCCCGGACTGACAGGTATTACAGTCACAGCATTGCCAAAAATGAGTTGGGAACTCATGGGAACTGTGGAACTGATGTGGGAGAAATTATTGGAACAGGTTTGTTTGTTTGTGTGTTTTTCTGTGTCAACTACAAAGGAAAAATGTTTGTAATATAAAATAAAATTACTTCTGTTGTTGATGTTTTGTAATATTGCTGTAGAGTGTAGAGACAGTGGTGTAAATCTGCTTTCACAGTTCTGAGGTAATTCCAACAGTGATGGAAAATTATGTGTGACGGACACATGAAGGAGCGCTGGGAAACAGAAACCTCTACAGAGAACAAGGAGTCTGTGTGTCCCCTAGATATTAGCCTTGAAGAGACCTCCGAGGAGGAAAGTAATTTAGATGAGTGGCAAGTCCCACTTGGACAAACATTGTGAGTATTAATGATTCACAGATGTAGACTGATACACACTGCTGTTTGCTGTAGTCACAGATTAATTGTAATTTACTGTATGTTCCAGTTCTGTGTTATGAAGAGACATGTTGAAGCTTTCACAGCACCTGGAAGTACTTCTGGAATTTCATAAGAGCAATTCAGTTCTCCCTATCCACATTTTGTTTTTAAAGGAGATCTATACCTAAGTAGCCACTGTGATGACAACTGAACAATGAAAATTCACCCCAGGACATATTGCAAAGTTTTTAACTAAACAATACTCTCATTCAGCCCCCAGCCCCAAAAGGCCAGCAGAGATTTTGCAGTATATTCGATTCTGTTAATTGAATCTTGTCTGAATTGGTTGATCTGGTTAAAATTAAATCGCATTTTATGAGCCCACACACAACGTGGAATACCCGTGCTTAGATATAATGCTGCATGATCTGAGATGTCTGTATGTGTGTTTATATCTATGTTTGTACTGGAAACATTTGTTGTAAAACTTGTTGCACATTCTTGGTTTAAGCCTGTGAAGTCTGTATATTCTGCAAATAAATTCTAGTCTTTTCTGTTATACCAAACCAACATCATTCCTGACTTTGTTAATTTCCTTTTTCTGTAATGGATACTGTGCTACTGTTACAGTAATTAAGTGAATGTACAGGATGTGTCATGTATAAAATTATGACACTAGTAATAACAACAACTGTATGACGTGGAATTAATGCTCTTGTTTCTAGATCCCTGCAGGTGAAAGGAAAAGAAAAAAAAAAGTGAAGAATGGTAGTTTTTTTCTTCATTAAACATTTCCCAGGTATGAAAAGTTAATGAAAAGCCACAAGTTTTCCTTGCAACAAACACGGATCAGTTCATTTCTGTCCAAAGAGAGTAAATACATAGTTTAGGTATGACTGGAGGCATAAATTCTTTATGATATGCTTTCCACATATTTTATGTAGTATGGTAGTTTTGCCACTATATTCTATTCATAATTGTAAAGGACATTCTTGTGTGTCATACTTCATGAAGACAATTTTGACAGGTTCATGAACACACAATCTTGGTATGCTGGCACTGGAAACAGAAATTACATGGTTTGGGATAAGGAAAGTGAGTGTTGTGGAGGGGGGATATGTGATGTGTCTGGTTGTTACTGTTGTGTTGTCATTAGACAGTTATAGCCAAGCAGAAGAACAGATCTCAAGGTATGTAGCTCAGAGCAATTAGAGAGAGCTTTTGCAACCGGTGAATAAATGCTAGAGATAATAGCTTTCCTAGGAGGACACGGAAATCTCATGTCATCTGCAGTTGTTGACAGGAAATGTAAAGTCTGTTGTACAATATTATATTTCAGCATCCTGTTACACTCACACAATATATATGGACAAATAAAATTGTTGCACTTAAGACGGTATTTGTCCATATATAAAGTCTGTTGTGTTGAAATTCTCAGGGAAAAGATTCATAGACTCTCAGAAGTTTGTGTACTTTTACAGAGTAGAGTTTTTAAATGAAGTAAGGATGGACGAGTACTGCAAAATGAAGGTAAACATGTTGGAGAATATTATTTCTAAACAAGATAACAATAACGGTATTCCCAGTATGAAAGCAATGCAGTATATTAATGTAATTTCATACCACGGCGCGCACAGTTCATTTATGTCGGCAACACTATAATGTACGAGTATTAAGCCAGTATGTTCGAATTACTCAGGTATGAATACTGGAGGTTATATAATGTACTAACTTTTTAACAAGGGCGCACAGTAGCATGGTTGAGGCACTGTGCTGCAAGCAGGAAGGTCGTGGGTTCGATACCCAATGAGGTCATTGGATTTTTCAATTGACCTAAATTTCCAGCTGCACTATGATTACCAGGAATCTCCCTGGGGGGTAAAGAGCGGCCGGCACGTAAGGTTAACAACCTCACCGCCAACTGTGAGCTGATTATCTAGAAAATGTGGGAGCCTCGACGTCTCGCAACCCTATGCGCTTCCATGATCTGTTATAGGTATAGCTTTACTCAACCTTTATTCGTCCTCTGGCACAACTTCCAGACATGTACCAAGATTGTACGTAAAATTATCCGTCCGAATTTTTGACAACCTTATCATTTCAGCAATCGTTCTGTTCAACAGTGCATAACACGAGCTGTTGACTGCACCGTCGCGTGAAGTCGAGGTTTTCCCATAACATGAAGATGTAGGGAAGAGCGGAGGTATAGTTCCACGCAGACTTTATCTCGGTACTAGATGGAGGTGAGTCAGTTTCACGTCTCCTGCCGCTTTGATACCGGGACACATTGTGTAATATACTGGGTGGTCCACAGAGCCGGTCTGGACATTGGAGAAGCAAAGGCTCTTGCTCCAGTCGGAAATCGAATCACGATTGTCTGGCCGTGAAGTGGCCACAGTGACTAAGGACTGGGAGCCTGAAATGATAATGGTAATGACAGTGTGAGGTAACTTCTGACGAAGCCGCGCGTGGAATCTGCCCGAAGTTCGTGCCACTTTCACCACTGCTCGTCCCTGCTTTGTATGCAGCCCAGCATCGCTCTGTGTATACACCGATGCGAATGACGCGTGGTGTGATGCTTTCTCCTGCCTTATTCTCCTCGGACGTGTGAGGCCCGCCTCCACAGCCATTGCTGCATTGTCAGGGGCAGTTCTGTTAATTGTGATCGCCACCGACCGGCGTGTGTTTGAAGAGTTCTGTCTTCTGGGATATAGCGCCGTGTAGTCTGTTGAGAGTCAGCCTACGTCTTCGGAGGAGCAGAGCTCGCCACTTCCTTTCACTTTGATTTCTTTCTTGGCTTATTCTTCGACCCTGAAGATGGAGGCAACATGCTTCTCCGAAACATCGGTTGACTTTCAACGGACTACACGGCGTTATATCCCAAAAGATAGAACTTTTCATAACCATCGTTGTGAGAACATCAGATCTTACATAGGCTTGTATTTTGTATCCTAAGACAGCCACGGGCCGGATGGCCTGGGTTCGATTCCCGGCAGGGAACTGTCTTCTTCTTTCCAATGGGTACCTGAGGCTCTTCCCCCAGCGGTAAAGCGGCTGGAGCGTGAAGCTGACCACTCACCTCTAGTGCCGGAATTAAGAATGGTGGAGCTATACCTCCACTCCACACGCATTCATGTCGCAGTGTTTAATTAAGCACAAGGACAACTTTACTGTAGTAAATGACGGCTAAGGTCTGGCTTCTTATCGCGGGTTAAGAACCCGGTTACTTCATGTGAGATTTGTGGTGGATGAATTGGTACTAGCTCTGGTCTCTCTTCCAGTTTGTTCAGTTTTGCATTCCAACTCGCCATTCCGCCATTACTCTATACAAAAAGTATCCAAACTACGGCCCACGGGCCACATTCGGCCCGCGAAATAATTGTGCAGAAATGCGCCAATTGAACTAATTTTCCAATGAGTACTGGTAAATGCGATTCCGAGCTTATTGACCTGACATTATACTGCAGTTTGATGGCTTAGCTGTGGAAAGGTTCTTTCGCGCTTCTTTCAGCTCAGGAATGAAATTGATATATTTCTTACCGAAAAAACCATCACGAACCACTTTTGTCGGATACCGAGTGGCTTTGGAAATTATCATTTTTTTGCTGATCTGGTGAACCATTTGAATTTAAAGTTGCAGGGTGAAAATAACTTAGTCTGTGATTTATTTGTACTNATTTCAGGTTTGAAAGAACAATTTCGGAAGCGATTTGCTGATTTGGATTCCAGTGCTCAGGAAATTAGATTGTTTCAAAATCCGTTTGACTGTGATGCTGCAGATGTCCCAAGTCAAATTCAAATGGAAATTATTGAACTTCAGGAAAATTATCATATTAAAGACAAATACAAGGAAGGAAATTTGATCGAATTTTATAAATTACTGAACTCTGAGCAATTTCCAAATTTAAATAAATTTGCCTGTAAATTTATCTCCATTTTTGGGACGACGAATCTTTGTGAACAAACTTTTTTCCCAGATGAAGTACATCAAGTCGAAATATAGGGCAAATTTATCCGATGGACATTTAAAGTCGCTACTTGTGATTAGCGTTTCAAAATTTGAACCTCAATTTAATCAGATTTTAAGAATGCAAAAAGGGTTCCATCATTCAAATTAATTGTTTTATTATAATTTGTGATGAAAATATGAGCATTTGCTGGTACTTTCTGTTGTCATTAATGTACGATAATTTATTCTCACGTACTTTGTATTTAGTTTATGAAATTCTGTGCTTTCAATAAAACTCATATACCTAGAGTTATTAATTTCTCATTTTATCTGGCCCGTTGAAAGTGCTGAATTACCTAATGTGGCCCGCGGTTCGAAAAGTTTGGAGACCCCTGCTCTATACTAATCAGTCTGCCCCCTCCCCGGGTTTGAGATACCCCTGAGCAGGCAGCACATTATCATATACTCGGCATTTAGGGCTTCATGTGCGTCCCGGCTCCTGGCCGGGAACAGTCTCCTTCAGCGAGTTTCCGACAAATTGTTCAGTGGTCGTGCTATTGATGGCTACCCCGACTTACTTCAGAAGTCTTCATGGCGTAGTGCTTAATCAGTTAAGCGCAGGGACAAGTTCGCCTTAGCGGAAAACGATTCCTTTGTGTGCTGACAGACATCTCTGCTATGATCAACTCACCAGTGATGGAATGGAGATACACGTACGTCACTGTGTGCTGATGACACACTCACCGTCAGAGGTGTTTCAGAAGCACCATATGTCTCATGCACATGGGCCGGGTCAGACCTCAGGCGGTTAGTCACTGGCTTCCCACCGCGGCGGCCCGGGTTATGTGTGATTTGTGGTGGACAAAGTGGCGCTGGGACAGGTCGTCTCCGAATACATAGGATTCCCCTGCCAATCTTCATCCTTGCAATCATCTACCAGCTGGGACTGGTAAAATAGACCAGTAGTGGACTCAGTCTCACCCCACTAAGAATAATAAATGCCTCGTGCACACCCTAGAATTCTTACCTAGATTTTGGATTCTGTCAACACGGGCGGAAATTAGAAGATGGTCTACTTTTGTAGAACTGAACTGTACTTCCGTTGTTTTTGCCTCTGGTTATCGTTCAGCTAACGAGGACTGTGATAACTCGCTGTGTGTGTGTATAGGCAGAAGTCATTGTGGACGTGCGGCCGCTGTTTCTCTGCCTCTCGCCTTCGTCTAATTCTTGTGGTCCCTTTGAACGCGCACTTCTTAATCCTGAGTTCCAAGCAGTACCCTCTTCTGCTGGCTCTCGTGATCGGACTTGGAAGACAGTCAAATTGGCGTTCTTTTTGGGATGGGTTTAGACTGAGTCTACTTGCTACACTTATGCCCGTGCTCTGGCTAGGCGGGGTGGGGATTATAACTCCGTGGTTTTAGTTCGCTTGCGGATACCGACCGAGCGACCGCCGCTTGACGGCGAAGTTAGTGCCAACTTTTGCTGACAGAGGGTGTCGCGTGGTCAGCGCAACAGATTCCCACGGCCATTAATTTAAGTTTTCTAGGCCGGAGCCGCTACTTTTCCATTCAAGTAGCTCCTCAATTATCCTCACGAGGCTGAGTGGACCCCGTTCCAGACACACTA